ACATAATGATCACTTTCCTAAATTGTAAGTTGACATCTAAAAACAAACAAAGAAAACAAATTACACAACACGACCACACCCACTGTAATTTAATCCAGATTTTAAACTGCCGCTGTGGACAAGATCCGACAACTTCCAATTATACCCCAAACAGTGGACATGAGCTCCACTACTTCCTGGGCATGTACAAGTTGTATAGGTCAACCTAGTTCTATCATCTAACTTGAATTGATCTTTCCATTGACCCAGACTGACCTGTTTCGAACATCCGTGGGGATGTGAGACAATAAAATTAAACTTGTGTCTGTCTCTGGTGTCCAAGTATTTGTCAAAAACCTTCCACCAAACCTGTTCGTAATGATTGAACATTACCTTCAGTTTGTCTCCCAAATTTTTATCGCATGTCACAACTTTCAACAAACACCTGTCATACTTGATGCTTTTATCTGCATAAATGACCTGATCAGTACTTATCACTGGACTATCATCTGTGTCGTAAAGAAATCTCAGTGTCGTTTGGCGGGCCTCAACGTCATCAAAAACCACATGTGTAGCTGTGACCACATCAAATTTCCACCACACATTGCTGGGTGTGACTGATTCTTTACATTTTCTACACCAGCACTTTGTGTAATTATTCTTAATACCGTTATCTTCTACGATGCCATCTTGAATCCTCTTTATATCAGACACCCATCCACTTCCTGTTCTCAAGTGTCGTATATCACTCATGTTATAAAATGGATATGGCTGAGTTGTATATGGCCAAAACCTTGGTCTGTGTGGACTGGTTATTTTAACGTCTACTCTAACTGTCAAATTAGCCGAAGCTTTGATGAAATTAAACAAAGCAATGTCTTGATACCCTTCAGGTAGATGTTTTAAGGTGAATGTATCAACAGGTATAAACTGACTATGTCCTGGATTCTTTCTGCAGCCTTCCAGATATTTGTGTAAATTCGCTTCTCCCCCCTCCGACTCCTGAGATTCATGTTCACCTGGAGAAAAAAAAATAAGTGGATGAAATGTTCAGCGTTTATTCCGATAAAAAAAAAAAGCAAAGTTTCCTTTTCAGACTTTGTGATAGGGCATGATGTAAAGGTCATCTGTTTCTGTGACCCACGGTAAACGAGGATTATCTTGTGGTAATCAAAACGACCACCCCCCTTTGCATGTCCCCCAACTGACGTCATGTACCTCATTAGAGTTGGGTGGACTCAGAGGAGTCCAAAGATCAAGAAGTTGAAAATCCCAGTCCTCACCAGGGTTCGAGCCCGGGACCCCTGCTTTACAGCTCAGCCACCGCGACTCCATTATAAATATATTATAAATATTTATAGCTAAAATGCCCTAACGTTTAAGTTTAACATACACACTGAAGATTATCCTGAGCGTATCCTGCGTCTTTACCTAGTCGTGGATAAAGAATAAATATTGGATAAACAGCATTACCTGGGACCTAGTTTTTAAATGAGAGAAAGTAGGGAATTAATAATAATAATAATTAATAAATAAATCGCTGTTAACAAACAAAATGTAGGCTCATTACAAACACAAACACGACAGCTACAATGACAAACTAATCTAAACAAGTTTTAAACAGATAGGTCTTAATGTTCTTCTTAAAAGTGGTGTAGCATGTTGTCTGTCTGAGATCAATGGGGAGTGAGTTCCAAATATTTGGTGCGTGCACTGAAAAAGTCCGCAGACCGTAGCTTTTGAGGGAGAAAAGCGGCACCACTAGAAGCGTTGAGTCAATTGAGCGCAGGGCTCTTTAAGGGACATATGAAGTGATCAGTTCGCTACGGTATAGGGGCATTTCATTGTTATATATACACTTATGACAAAGTGTGGCCACCTTGAGTCGATTCTTGCTTTCACGAGAAGCCAATGGAGCGTGTGCAGAATCTCATAGTTTTTCTAAGGATTATTCGAGCGGCGTTGTTCTGTATACGTTGCAGCTTGGCTATTTTGTCATCAGGTATACCTGCTAGCATGGCGTTGCAGTAGTCAAGACGGGAGAGTATGAATGTCACAGCTAGCTTTTTTGTTGACTCCGTTGCGTAGTAGCAGCATTAATGAGAATCAAAATAGATTAAATGCGACGAAAATAAGGGACCAAGGATTGAATCAGGGACCCTGGTAACGACAACAACGTCTAGCTGTAACGCACTTCAAAGCAAGCTTAACCTCTCGACCATCGTAATGTCAAAAAAACATATTTCTGGTATAGAGTCATTCACCGGTTATGCAAATTACCAGTTGTTTGTTGTCACATGCCAAGCAAACCCCGCCCTCCCCCCCCCCCCACCTCGCCACACCGGTGTTCACTTACAATTTTAACAGAGCCGACACAGTATGTATGTATCGTCCATTTGTTTCTGCGCCTAGCTTCACATGCATAATTAAGCTCACAGCTTCATTGCTCCAACTCACTGAAGCTTCTCTATGTAATGTATTTATGTGGTCCTCTTGTCGTAATGAGAGATACACAATTAGATAGAGCCATTGTTTATCTAATACATGTCTACTAGCTGTCTGTGGTTTCCTAGGGTCTTTGGTTTTGGCCCCAGTCGGCGAAATCCCTTATTTTCGTCGCATTTAATGCACCACTTTCTTTTATTTAAAAATATAGTCCGTGGTGCTCTTTTAGCGGCCCCCGTAAGAAGAAAAACCGCTATTAAGTTTGTGTAAAATGTCCATCTATCCGTCTGTCACACTCAGATCTCGAAAACTAGAAGAGATATGAAAAATATTATTTCACCATTCAATGCGGCTCGAAAAGTTTAGGTGCAACAGCTACTTTTGGTTTTCTAAAAGCAAACCGTTTAATTTATAAAATTAATTATGCAACCGATTTTTTCATAAAAATTCACCAATTATAAGACAATTACGTAAATGTAAGGGAGGCAGTGTCTCAATATGCTAGCAAGTATGGAAGAGTTCCATGTATTTTCAGTATCACTAAGTCTAATGTATACTTATAGAATGTACAAGAAATGTTTACAACAAATATAAATAATAGTTGACAGTTTTTTTTCTGGTCGACTAGCTGCTAAAATTTAAAAATACAACATTTGTGTTTGTTTATAAAGGCTAAGAATGCACTTTCTATGTAAATATCACGCACATTTTTTAAAATAAACGTTTTATGTAGCGACTTTCGAGCAGTAGCGTTACGTTGCAACAGCACCACCCCTAATGCCATTTTTTTTTATTTATAATATGCTGATTTTATTTATTTGTTGTTTCGTGCCCCATCCGGACAAAAGCCTCTTATTTGTGAGCATTTTGTCTGTTGGTCGGTCTGTCCGTCACGTTCAGATTAAAAACAACAACACTAAAAGCAATTGAAAATCTGTTTTAACCTTTAATGTTCCTTTACAACAGGGGTTCTCAACCTGTGGGTCGCGACCCCTTTGGGGGTCGAATGACGATTTGCCAGGGGTCGGCTAAGACCATCGAAAATATAGATTGTTTATGTCTATTCTCCTATTGCTGTATGTGTGTGTGGGGAGGGGGTCGCGGAAGAGTGGGGGGATTGTAAAAAGGGATCGCCGGGCTTAAAAGGTTGAGAACCGCTGCTTTAGAAATATCTCTATAGTTTTACCTATCTAAAATAGATTGTTCCGCCTGGTTTTGTGAAAAAAATCAATGTCAACGAATGTCTGTTTGCTCTTCTAATTTATATTATATTTAATTTCCATGCTTAAAGGCTGCAAAACACTTGATCAATCATATGTTGTTCCGTTTTTTTTAATGTAAATTGCATATAAATGTTAAATGAAAATCTCGATACGGGCTTATATTTCATTAACTAAAATGTTGTTCCTAAAATTGTTATACTAAAAATAAATTATGTGAAATGATTTTTTGAAATCGCACCATTGACTTACATTACACTTGCATTCTTTGACAATACGTTACTATACTTTAATTATCGATATCAAATCGTTCCGTATTCTCTACTTAAAACTAATGTATGTATGACTTTTTCAAAAGTATCTACAATGGGTTGTTCAGGATTTTAAAATAATAAAGTAATTTAGAAAATCCCTTTTAGTGGCCCCCATAAGGGAAAAAGCCGCTATTATGTATTAGCGCTTCAGGGACACCCTCAAAGCTTCTCAGCATAAACCCAGTCACATAGGAGACAGAGACACATGACAGAGCATCATGGCGTCGCGCTGTGAAAACTGGCACACAGGTTGCTGAGAAAAAGAGAAAAATACTGGCAGAAGAAAAGCAAGACCCACGACACTAGCTCCAGCTGGAATAACCTGCCCAGTGTGTCGTCGATTACCAATTTTTTTTTTGTTTGTAAATATAGTAATTACAATAACAGAAATTACATAACGTAACAATACATTTGTAACGAATAAAAATTTGACCAAAAAAAAAACAACAACAACCGTTTGCATAAATGTGTTTTAAATTTGGTATACAGATACCTCCCCTCATTGAAGAGTCTCCAGTGTTTGATACTTTTAATAGTGAATAGTTGTAAAAGTGATGTATTCTTATTAAAAAAACTGCTTGCATACGTGATTTAAAAAATTAGATTTTTCGCTTTCAGAAAAGAAAAAGTAACCTTTGAATCAGAACTTTGAGTGGTCTAAAATATCATCATATCGGATTTTCAATACCTTTTCTAGTTTACGAGATCTAAACGGGACGGACAGACATTTTAAACAAAACAAATAGCGTATTTTTCCCTTTTCGGGGCCCGCTAAAAAGATACACATAAGTCAAAAGTTTGGTAAACACTGCTCTAAATGATACGTGAATATTCTTTCTTTTTCATTTTCGTTTTCACGTCTTTATTTTGCATTTCTTTTCGCTTCTTTATACTTTCTTGAGTTGAGAGGGGCCCAAACATTAGTGGTTTAACTAAGTATACAATGGTATAATAAATCACACTAAAAAAAAAATAAAAAATTACCAATAATTTGATTTCCATATGCCTGGGTTTTAGACAAGTCATAAGTGACATGAAATTCTGTTACAATCCCTTCTGAATTACCTGAAATATGCAAATAAACTTTTTAAAATAGCTGTCAAAAAAAAGCAGCAACATATAACAAAGATTTTTTTTCTCTTCCTCTCAAACAAACTATATCTCCATCATTCTTATTAATTTTACGTATGTCATTTTTTTTTTCTGTTACAGACAAATAATTCTATGCACAAATACCATTTCCGGATAATTCTTTATGAATATTGATGTCAAAATCGTTCTGGAAATGAAAAAAAATTTATCATTAAGATTAATAAGATAGTATTATAAAGCACTATTGAAATGTAAATCTAAAAACGTTAAAAAGGGCTTGAATTGAAATCGATGCACTTGAACTAGAAAAAAAAACAACAACTATAAGCGCAGTTTAAATGTAAATTAAAACATGAGAACAACTTGAATTAAATTGAGATATTAATGTACTTTTAGTAATATAAAAGCCCTTTGAATTGTATTTTTTAATGAATAACTTTTTCCCTTTAAATTTCGCGTATGCGGTCTAATTTAATATATATATAGAGAGATAACTTTTATATCGCTACTCGCTAACTCTATTCAGCTTTCATAATTTTGATTGATTAAAAATTAAATTTTAGTCTATGGTTTAGTTTGGTGATAATGTTATCATTTGAAAATATAATAAATAACTTTTTGATACTAATATTTTTTAATCTCTGTTACGCTTAGTTTGTTTTCGCTCATTTAGTCATAGATTATTGCTAAATACAAACGTGACTGATACGAATTTCAGTCAAAAGTTTAAACATTTGTTGAACTTATCTTTAAAATGTTCAAAAAAAGTGTAGTTATGTGTTTTTTAAAACTTTTGCATCGTCAGATTTTGTAATTAAACCTCCTACCACAAATAAAACTTGATGTTAAGTAAAATTAAATAAAAAAAGGGGATTTAAAAAAAATATTTATTCAGCCACCTCTCTTTTAACAGTCTAGCTTGTGACACCTGGTCAACATTTCTAATTGGCTATCGCACAGTGAAGACTACGCTGGCTCGGTCATGTCACTCGCATGACAGATGGAAGAATCCCTTAAGACATCTATACGCTGAGCTTGCAGAAGGAGTCAGACCCAAGAGTTACCCAAGACTTACCTACAGATATGTCTGTAAGTGAGACATGCGAACCACAGGTCTCACCAGCCACTTGAGGAGGCATAAAACCCCAGTGCAAAGCCCTCTACCCCTGGTTGACAAATTGGTCATCATCAAACCACGATGGACGAAGTATATTATGAAGGATATCATACTATTTCTTATTTAACCAGATATTTGTAACTGAATGCTTGACGTTGCAGTATCATTCTCATTTATACTCATTTAACATTTAATACATTTAATACAATTCAAGGTGACCTGCCACTGGAAGAAGAGATAAAAAAAACGCATAGGCCAGGCCGCATCAACCTTCGCTAGACTCTGATCAAGAGTTTGGGAAAACAAGAAGCTTACCACAGCGACCAAAATGGAGGTCTACAAGGCATGCGTTCTTAGCGCGCTACTGTACGGTAGTGAGTCGTGGACTACCTACACAAAACAAGAGAGGAAACTAAACTCATTCCACTTGCGCTGCCTTCGAAGGATCTCAAGAAAAACATGGAAAGAAAAAGTGTGTAATATTGAGATCCTCGCGTAAACGGGCCTTCTCAGCATCTTTATAGTCCTCAGGCAACGCCTCCTGCGCTGGCTCGAACATGTTCGCCGGATGGAGGACAATCGCATCCCAAAAATTATTCTGTACGGACAACTTGCGTCTGGCTGAAGATAAAATTGTCGCCCCCACCTCCGTTACGTGATATGTAATAAAAAGGGACTTGAAGAAAAGCGTGTAATGCGAGAAATGGCCAGAAGCCACCTTGACCTGCAATATATGTGGACGGGAGTGTCTCTCAAAAATAGGGCTCAACAGCCCTATGCAAAAATGTTCGAGATGAACCATAGTCATTTCACGACTGAAGGAGGCCAATGAGTGAGTGTCTCATTTAACCAAAGTTATTTTGACTAATGAAATCGTTCATGTACAATAGTTACGTTTGTCACATTAAGTGTAGATTCACGACACACGAACCCAGACTATTTGACATTTTGGTGACCAGCAATCTACACAGTGATAAGAAACAACACGTTACAGACTGATCGTGTGTACACGGTTAGACTTAATCATCTGTCACACATCCTATCGAAAAGTGAAGACATCTCCCTCACCAGTTAGGCGAACGTACACATCTAATAGACTTTTTCATATTTTGATAATACATACAGGACAGACGGTGACAACACAAGACTATGGCGATGCACTAAATGTTCCTAAACTTTAATTTGGTAAACCTTTTATTGAATATTGAAAATATCCGAGGGCGTAAAAGACGCGTAATCTGTTCTAGGCGAACAATTTCAAGGTAAATTTACATATTTTTTTAAAATAATTATACAAAAAATTAATCAAACTAGAGTTTTCCCAGTGAGGCAAACGAGCTAGTAATTATTTTCTCAACGATATACATCAACTGTCAAATTTCTGGGAAAAACGTTAGATCCTCGTTTTATAAGCGAGTCATGCATTACATACTGCCGCTCGGTCAGAAAATATGTACGTAAATTTACGTTTTATAAAATATATTTAGAAGTGGTAGTATTTATATGAATAACACATAAAGTTTTGAGACAAAAATGTTGACTTAAACGTTTCTTTGTGTTCTTGTACTTAGAGTTTGTACTATAAAGAACATTGGTTTGCATAAATAAAGCAACTATTAAAACTCACATGTTCAGTCTTCAGTTTCTTCTTTCGTTTTTCCTTGGCTTGTGTTTTTCTTTTGCTTGTCGACATAGTGGTCTAGTTTCAGCACAGATGATGGATGAGTTCATTTCTGACATGTTGATTTTAAAATAAAACAATTTACTGCAAGTAGTTTTTATAGAAATGAAACTGTATTGGAAAACGAATATTTTATACAACTTTTATAAATGAAATTAATGTTCAATCCAAGAGTAATCACAAGCTGACGATGACATATGTATACGGGACATAGTATTTATTTAAGATGGGGTTAACTTAAGATGGGTTAAATGTAACTCAGAAGGAACGGATTTCAAAAGTCACTTACAAAGAACTGGTCAAAAATAGCTAACTCCTATGCGAACGAGCGCCACCATACATCGAAGTTTTGACCGGGCCTCACATTAGATTTGTGTGACATGTTCTCTAAAAGCTCACGCGTTAAAAGTAGCATTAAAATGCAGGACGATAGCCAAGAATAACACAAACAAGGATGTCCTAATATAACTTAAATCCGCACTTTCGTTCAGGATATAAGACCAGTTGACACCAGTTAAGAAGAGTCTGCGAACTTAGCTAGAGGCCAATTTTTAAGTACAGCTTTTCGTCCAATGCAAGAAAAGGCACTGCAGTATCTAAGCCTAAATCTAATAGCAAATAACATTGGACCAATGCGTACAAAGCAGCTAAGCATGCAAACGTAGCCATTTAGTCTACTAACTAACTAATCGAATGGGAAAGGGCTTATATTAACAGACAAAACAGTGTATTTAAATCGAACAGATACATTTTACATTGACAAACGAAAGTTCGCAGCAAACTTTGTTTTTACAGTACCACTGCCTCACAATGCTAGAAAATTTTGATGTACAAAGAACAGGATATAAACATTTTATCTTAAAGATTAAGCGACTGGCATTGAGACTAAAACTTCAAGACAAACCCTATTGATTTTAACAGAGGAATTTCGACAACTGATCTTCAAAGACATCTTCAGGGCTCTGAGCATACCTGTTGCCTGTTAGCAGTTTCTGCTGCAGAGCTGCCACAGCTTTAGAAAACAAAGATTGCTAAGAGTACACAAGAATATTAAATTTTGTTTACCTTTAACGGATAAAGATTAAAACTATTGCCAGAGGATGTCACTTCATTCATCATTGTGATACAAATATTGAAAAGTAGCAAAATATACAGAAAAAGTACGTTGAAAAAACAACAAAGCTTATCTAAAGGAAAAAAACGCAGCCTTTAAAATTATATCTATAATTAATGTAGGAGTTGTTTCACATATTCGATATCAAACAAAATAAAGAATTACCAATGATTAATGGCTAAATTATTGATTCATATTTTGTTAGCGAAAAACAAACAAAATTAGTTTAAGTATCAACTTGATCGGAGAATGCGTTAGGGAGAAAGAGCGGGAACACACGAACCCAGGCTATTTTAAGGAGTAGTCTCCCTCGATGGTATTAATTAAAATGATAAATTACCCGTATTTATTGTCTTATACGTTACTTTTTTAAAAAAATTAATTCATGTCTTGTCTATGTCAATGATTAATTGTGCTAAGTTTCAACTTGATTCGCGAATGGGTTCGGAATGAATAGAGTGTATACACTTTTTACCAGACGGACAGATAGAAAGACAGACAGGTAGAGTGAGTTGATAAGCTTTTTAATAAATGGCCACTTTTCCCGTATCCATCCAAACATTCCCAAAATAAGCCTTCTCCAAACAAAAGCTATTATTAAAATTTTCCAGTAATCGGACTAATTTTAGTACTTACAAAAGCAATAATTGATTATTTTTGTCTTTTTCAAATATCGTATCAACTCACTCTGTCTGGTAAAAATTTTGAATATGTTTTTTCTCCATTTACCATTCTCGTGTCCAGTTGAAATTTTGCACAATTATTCATTGCAACTGACTAAACACGTATCAATGAAAACAATAAACCAATTTGTTAATTAATTAATAGTGATCAATTATTTTGTTTGTTATTGAATGAAGAGGAATAATAAATTCAAAATAAGCAAATGTAGATGTAAATATCGATTTAATCCCTTTAGTGCCTTTTTCCACATTTTTCTTCCACTTCCCGTTCTCAGATCAAGTTGAAATTTTGCAAAGACAATTAAACCAATTAGTTAAGTAATTTTTACTGATTAATTAAATTCATTTTATATGGCAGAAAGTTAGAAAATGGTAGAAATTAGTGGTTCTTTCTCTTTAAGTTTTACTCCTTTGAATGTATTTCTCTTTAATGTCACCATATGCTTGATACATAGTAATAAAACTATTTAAATAATCAATTTTAAATGATTTATTATCAATTCACATAATCAAAACATAATTGTAATATACATATCACAGTTTAATAAGCTAGCTAAAGTATGACTAATTT